TTACTTCAAAAACTATGAAATTTTCATAATCTCTTCCAAATTTTTGGTTATTATTGAATGTCACCTTTGTTATCTTCATTTATGACAACATTAATGAGTGACAGTCAATGCAATTGACAATGTTCACATTTTTCGTATAAACTTAGCTTTTTAACTTAATACTTTTTAGTTGTACAGCTAAAAAGAAATGATCAATGTGTATTTGACTGATCCAGTTTGCGGTGAATATATCACAAAGCTATGTTGAAAGATGGATCTTAGTGTTTGAGAAATAATTTAGACAAATTAGCCTAAATGATATTCGGTCATTGGAATGCTAATGTTTTCATTAAATATAATTTGCATTCAAGCATAAATTCATTTAACTCTTGCTCTCTTCACTGTTAAACAAACCATTCAACCGGAATTCGATTTTTTTTGAGTAGGCTGGTAACATATTATTTTTTGGTAGTATTCTTTACGTGAGTAATCGCGTTTTCATTTTCTAAGGAGATAGTTCTTTCTTTCCACAGGCATGTGGTAATTAATTCTTCGGATATGATATTTATCGGTCGAAACGTACTAAGGATATTGTAAGGTTTACTTAAGTAACAGCAAACTCTGGTTTCTTTGGAATCACACTAAATTGAGTGAATGCTAACTCACTCACTCACACACTCACTTACTCACACACCCACTCACTCACTTACTTACTTACTTACTTACCTACTTACTTGCTTACTTACATACTTACTTACTTACTTACTTACTTACGTACTTACTTACTTACCTACCTACTTACTTACTTACTTACTTACCTACCTACTTACTTACTTACCTACTTACTTACTTACTTACTTACTTACTTACCTACCTACTTACTTCCTTACTTAAGCAAGTTACCCCTAGTTGAGCATAGGTCACTGGGCAGCATTCTCCAACCTACTTAAAGCTCATTATTTTCTATTCGAATAAAGAAACCTTAATAAGGATCGATTTAATAGTAATATCAGCGCATAGTCAAAGTCTTGAATACATTCAATAATTTATTTAATTCAGGTATTTTTTCATTTTATTGAAAATTCACTGTCGATTTTTAAAAAAAACAGTCCATCTAATAAATTAAGATTTCTTTAAGTAATTTAAGTATATTGTGCTTTCAAATAATTGACTATCTTGAAAGTATTACGATCGTAAAATATATATATATTTTGCATTACATGCCATCTCACATTTGAATTACTTTCTGTTGGGATAGTAAATCGAGAATAAAGCCACGCATATTGTGGATTAATGAACTATTTGATTTTTGTTCATAATAAACTATTTCATTAATGATGAATTATATGATTGATGTTCATGATAAACTATTTAATTTATGATGAACTATATGATTATCGTTCCTGACGAACTATTTGAAGCATGTTCAAATAATTAACGACTTTTATATAATTGTATAAATACGCATGTTTGATTGTATATTTTTGATTCTGACAAGAAGTGTTCTACAACGTCTTCCGTCTTCTTATTTTTGAACGGAGGGGTCTAACGTTCGTGTGTCATTAGTACGGAGGTTGACGTTACATCAAGTACAAAACATAAAACTTTCAATTTATTGAATATTGAACAACTGATTACTGGTTCAATAACAATCTTACTCCATTTTTTTAAAAAAATTGAATTTCTTTTTCCATTATGATTTTAATTATTTAATATTATTATTATTATGATTCAAATTTTTTTTGCTGATTATTACAAACGTTTACTTAGCTTCTAATACTAAAACTCACTGTATTATTTTTCTGGTTGTTCGGAAAAAAACTTTATTGTAAGCATTTTGATTCTGCTATGAAACGCTACAATTTTTTCGTTTGCAATATGATGAATCGAAGTAGTAGAAGTTGTGGATGCCCACCGTCACTGATGAGTCCTATACCAAGACGAAACGGCCTTCAACTGCTTCCAGGTTTCTAATGGAAGTCTATCAATGATTGTATCATTATTTTATTGTGTAAAAACATTGATCTCCATAAGTCTAACTGAAAAATCGAACAGGATTTTGACATTTAGATGATCCACTGAAATGTCACGAGGAGAACTTTTTAAGTGAAAAATGTTTTGATGAAAGCCCCTTCCTTCCAAAATACAACAATATTTGACTTAAATAAAACACACAACAACATTGACCAACAAATTACGATTAAACAAATAAGAATTATTCATGTACTTAATAAAATGTGATACTTCAACGTGTTTAAGCGAATGAGTTTTTAATACGCCGCTCATGAGCAACTACTTAAAGAATCCTCCTTTTCTGTCATAATAGATTCTTCCCAAAAATATATCCATTCCATACTTGTAACAATCATTTTTTTAAAACTAAGTATATATTTATCCTTGACAGAATATTTCATGTTTTTGTTCAACTTTAATTAATAAACATGAAACAATGTGATTTTGATCAAGATACCCTTAGGATATTGATCAAATCTACTAAAAGAATAATTTTTGTAAGTCTGATTCTATTGGTCAATTTCTACTGATCAATATTATGGTCGTCACATACTTTAAATGTTGGTTCCTATTCAACCTAATTGTATAAGTACGCATTATCTGTAGCGTTATATAACCCGGATCCGGATTCCTAGTCCGGGATCCTTATCCACTTCTGGACTCTAGCCTCGCACTTTCTGGATGCTTGTAGAACGCAGGTTCTACTTCACATCAAGTCTTCTTCCTCTTTTTTACTCAATATGGGGGTTAGGGACAATCGGATTAGAGTAGTAAATCGTGGCGCCGGATACTCTCTCTCGTGTTTTCCGACTAAGGTGAACTCATCATAGTTTAAGCATATCAAGTTGACGTGATGAAGTTGTATTCATAACAGATACAATGTAGAATAATAATGTTTCAGCTGGTATTTTGTTTTGCAGCAGATCAGACTGACTGACTTCGCCTATCAAACATGATCACAAACGAATTTACTTTATATCTATGCAAAAAAATAAAAACCAAATCTGAAATAGAAATAAAATGTTAGTTGTGAAATTTTCGCAAATTAGAAATTAATTAAAACAAGAGATCAATCCGAAATAATAAAAAAAAAAACAACCAATAGAAAATGAGCATGAATTTTCTACAACGTTAAATAATCAATAATAGTACAAGAATCAAGGCATAGCAAAGGCGAAATCAGCGCAAAAAAGGACACAGGAAAAAAAGAAAATGTATATTGGATCAAATGAGAATTATTTCTCATTTCTATATTGTATAAGACAATCAATGCATTAATGATTTTACAATTGGTAATGAATGAATGACCTAATTGAAGAAATATTAAGATCTTTCGTTGATTAGTATTGTGAATCAGTAAGTTAGTAGGATTTTAATGGGGTCACAGATTATAAACTACCATTCAGTGGAAAAAAGGTTACTATTATGGTTGCGATTTAGAATAAAAGACAATCATAAAAAAAAGTATATTTGAATTTTGCGCTGAAAAAATACCACAATAAAATTTAAAAATGTGTAAAAACACTAATCTCCAAAACTCTAATTGAAAATATCGTAGCATGTGCTCACTAGTGACTAGCTACGTGAGCGAATTCTCGGAGTTCTAGTGAGAAGACGTGACCAGTGGAATTCAACCCTGTTAGGTGTAGGCAGTAACTACCAAAGACAAATGGGTGAAGTC